AATAAATATGAGAAAATGTTAATGATTCACTCCAGGTGGTGAGTATACAGGTGTCCATTATATTCTTTCTTTTGCTCTTCTCTATATGTAAAAACTTAAGTTTAAAGTCTGCTTTCCAATACAAAAGGAAAAAAATGAGTCTGAACTATGAAGAGAGCTGACTAAAGTAAAAACTGAAAAGGTGCTAAATGAGATACATATTTTCTGGAAGATTCTAAAATAAATGTCAGAGCTTTAATGTTTGTGAGAGACAGAGATGAGCAGAACCACAATGCAGGAAATGGAAAGTATTATAGTAGTTAAAGTGAGTCACCATAATCAGAATAAATATAACCAAGCAACAATTGCAAATAGAACATTTCTTCGTTGATGTCTCAGAAGTGATAGCAAGTAAATTCAATTCCTAGACATGTCGTGCTAACACTGCTGCGAACGCCGTTAACCCCCACCTTCCTTAGGAGTTCTGCATTCTGCCGTGTGACAGCGCACCCAACGCGAACACCATGGTGTTTGGACTCCTTTGCCTCTTTCTGTTCCGTGGAGTATGGGTGCCCGGCTGGTGCTGCAGTAGCGCTGCGGCCCTTAAGAACAGCAGCTTTAGTGAAGGTAGGCATGGACTCTGGCTCTCTCCCTGTTGCTCGCAGGGGAAGGAAGAGCCGGAAGGGCTTTTTCAGGTCTACACGAGCTCGCAAGAGACCTAACTCGCACGTGCCCTGGCTCGATAGACCTGGGGTGAGTGTCCGTCAGCGCCACATCCAAGCTGTGTAAACCTAAGCCAGGTATTTAGGCTCTTGAGGCGCTAGTTTCTTTATCTATAAACCAGAGAAAACACTGCCTCATAAAATTGGTATAAAGGCTAAGGAGAGACAATACACACCAAGCCCTTTGATCAGCTGTTAGGACTCTTGAAAATTTATCAGAACAATCAACCTTAGCCAACCATGAGCGGAATCAAAGACAACAATGCTGACATACTCAACATTTTAGATGTATTGAGGAGGAAAATGTAAGAGAACACAGATCTATTTATGTAATTTGGGGTTGAGAAAGTGTTCTAAATGTACCATCAAAGGTACAAAGTCAAAATAAAAGATGAATGTATGTGACTAGTTAGAGAGTATAATAGAGTATAAACAAAATTAAAAAACAATTGGTAAACACTGAGAAATTGACATTCAAAACCAAAGATAAACCTCTCCCAATAAAATGCTGTATCATAAAAAGGACATGAAAATGCAGTTTGCAAAAGAATATCTAAATGACCAACACACATAAAAAAACTAATCTTTTTGGCAATAATCAAGGAAATATGGGACACAGTAAATTTATCTATAGAGCACTGGTTAAACGATAGCATATCCCTACGAACAAGTTGCCACATCATTGAAAATATCATAGAGGAATATTTCATGAGGTGGGAAATAACCTGGTATGAAAAAAATTTGGTAAAATTGTGTTATGCTCTACATTATGTTCCTGTTTTTATGCAACAAAACAAAAGATGAAATAAAACATGGGGAAATACATAACTATTTCAGTCCTGGAAAGAAGAAACAATAGTTATTTGGAGTGATATAGGAATCTTCCTTTTTTTGCATTTTTTTTTTGGGGGGGGATCTTTTCGAGATGGGGTCTCACTATGCAGTTCAGGCTGCCCTTGAGCTCACTTTGTAGCCCAGGCTGGTTTTGAACTCGCAATGACTCTCCTGCCTCAGCCTCCCAGGTGCTGGGACTAAAGGCGTGCGCCACCATGCCAGGTTTTTTTTTTTTGCACTTTTGCATTTCAAAATTTTATGCAGTAAATTACAAAAAAATGGCACTCTTAAAATGTGAGTAGGCATCCATGTAAGAGCCAGTTTGAGGAACACCTACTGGACAAATCTGAGAAAGTTTGAGCAACATAAAGGATAACAATGGCAAAGATTATGACAGGGAGGAGGCGACAGAAAGCTCTTTACTGTAAGCCATTTAGTAATATGGGAGGAATTACAGAATGAGACGATCAAAACTGTGCAAGTCTCAATGTAACAGTGGATTCAGGTGGGGATCAGAGCCATCCACGTAACAATGGTTGAGGGAAGGTGGCTGAAGAACCGGAAGATTGTGCGGCGTCAGTTTCACACCCCCCATTACTTACTGTTACAGAGGAAGTGGAGCCCTTCAGAGCGCCGAGGTCTGGCCGACACCACCTCTCGGCCAAGCGCTCAGACTCCGCGTGATGGAATCTGTGCAGTCAGAGGTACGCAGAGGGCACCTCTGTACTTCCCCTCTAAAGGGGCTTCACCTGGACCTACTCCTGTGGAGACGAGCAGGCGAACCCAGAGCGGGGCGCTCTCAAGCGGCTAATCCGGACTCTAGAGACAAGGAACCTGGGAACTGGGGACAGTTCTAGGTTGAAAGACACAAGCAGAGCTGGCAACCAAACGTACTACTTGAAACTATGAAAAGCATTTTGGGAACCATCAGGGAAATATAGAAACTTTTAAAAACGAATGATTTTATGAATTAAAGTTTCAGATGTGATAACAGCATTGTGGTTATGTCGCAGAATGTTCTTATTCTTGGGCTATACTTGATAAGGAGTTTAGGAATAAAGTGCTGTGTCTGCAACCTTTCTGCGTTTCCTCAAAAATACTCGTGTGAGGGACAAAATAGAGGCAAAATGGTAACGTCTGGTGACAGCAAGAGAAGGGTAAGCAGTGCTTATTGTGCTTTTTTCAACTCATTTGTATAGATTTCAACATTTTCTAAACAAAAGGTTGTGTTGGGGGATTCAGATAGAAATGAAAAGGAGAGAAAAAACTGTAGAATACATAAGAGTTAAGGGTGATACACACCTGTAATCCCAGCACTCGGGAGGCTGAGGCAGGAGGATCGTTGGGAGTTTGAGACCAGCCTGGGCTACAAAGTGAGTTCAAGGCCAGCCTGAACTGCATAGCAAGACCCTGTCTCAAAAAGACAAAACAAAAAACAAAAAACAAAAAACAAAATCAAACCCAGTTAAGGGGCAAGGTGCTCAGTTACAATGCACGGGTCTTACCTGATTCCTCAAACAACTTTAGGAAAATGTTAATGAGACAGGAAATTTTGAGCATGGGGAATATTTGATGAATTGAAATATGAAGTAGATGAAAGAAGTCCGGCCATCTGAAGATGTCTGAAGCTAGCTTGTAATATGTAGGTATTGGTTATCTTATCCTGTCTATGTGTTTGAAAATTTCCCTAGTTAAGCAAGTCAAAATTAAATAACACTGGACTTTCTCCACGAGTAAACCAGTGACTAAATAATATCTGCATGATTCTTTATTAGATAATTACAGAAAAAATGATACATTGTGAGATCCAGGTTAGTACCTGAGCTTCTCTCACAGTAGTGATTTTAAATGAACCTGGGGGAACTGGGGGAAATGAAGGTATGTAGAAGTAATTGTCTGTTTTTCCCCTTTATTTTCGTTCTTTCAATTTCTATAATGCATGAGGCTCCTGACCACCACAAAGAAAGCCAACGCTGGCGCATTATTCTCATCATCTCTGATGCTGATGGAATGGTATTTATTGCTTTCACTTGTTTGAGAATCTTTAGATATCTCTTTAATCAATTCTATATTTAGCTAAAGGAAGTTTTATTTCCTTTAGTGTATTTTTAAGACGGTATTATGGTTCCTGCTGCTAATTTAACATTTAGGTGAAGGTAAGGCAAGTTTTTTTTTTTTTTTTGGTTTTTCTCCGGTACCGGGAACCGAACTCACGACCTTGCGCTTACCAGGCAGGCGCTTTTGCCGCTGAGCTAAATCCCCAGCCCCTAAGGCAAGTTTTTGAATGGATGGTCACTCAGGAACATTATACGGCCCCTATGAAGGCAAAAATGCATTAGAGCCATAAAAGTGAAAAACGTTCATATTTTTGCCCCCCTGTTAGGAGACTGTGGAGCCTACAGTCAGGTATGTCTTAGCAAGTGATGAGAAAGTGGTCTTGCCCCACAGTGGTGCTAAATAACTTAACTTTTACTCTCAGGTAAAATATATAGTAAAAAAGAACAGCAGTTTTATGTTTTGTTTTGTTTTTTTGTTGGTTTTTCTCCGGTACCGGGAACCGAACTCACGACCTTGTGCTTGCCAGGCAGGCGCTTTGCCGCTGAGCTAAATCCCCAGCCCCTTTTTTTTTGTTGTTTTTTCTCCGGTACCGGGAACCGAACTCACGACCTTGTGCTTGCCAGGCAGGCGCTTTGCTGCTGAGCTAAATCCCCAGCCCCCTGTTTTGTTTTCTAGAGAGGAATAGTATTGAAATAAAATATGACTGGATGTCCATTTTGTGCTCTAAAGTCTTTTTAAGGGAAACAGAGTATTAACTTGTCATCTACAGTACAAACCATAAAGAGGACAAGAAGAGTAGATAAAGAGATGTGCATGGCAAGAAAGATTTGACTCTGAACACGTTTAACAAACAAAACAAACCCGAGTATGGGCTTAGTAAGAAAACAAATGAAATGAGGTTTAAAAGGAATATCAAATGTGGACCACAAAGAAAAATAAATCTCGGAATCAGTTTCCATAGTTGCTTATTACATTAAGATAGAAAATAAAATTACATACTATTATTTCATCTCTGAATGTAGCTTTCATTATTTAGACTAAGCACTATTATTGACAGAAGTAATCTTAAAACTTTAGTGTTCACAAATACGAAGTGTATATCCTTGGGTGGAAAGCCCAGTAAAATAGTGGACCCTTGACTTACGAACTCAGTTCGTTCCCGAGGGCTGGGTGTGAGTCAAGCTGTCAGCTGGGGCTCAGGCTCCTCCACACAGCCTGCCAATCTCTCCCCTGTTTCCAGGCAGCTCTCAGCATCCTTGGAGAGGCACTGGCCCGGGATTTCTCAATGAGCCCCACTCGGGAAAGGATGCTGTGATGTTCCTTCCAGAACTCTTTCAGGGTTCACTCTGTCTGAGACCATCTGAAAGCACAAGCGGCCAGCACTCAGGTCGTAACTCATGATTTTGGTCATAAGTTAAAAGTTTTTTTTTTTTTTTTTTTTAAAGTAAAGTTTTGGTCATAACCCAAGGTGTTCATGTGTCAGGGCAGATGTAACTCAAGGATCCACTGTATATGTATGTGAAAATGCTTCTAATACTGCCGTTAAATTTTTTCTAAGGTGTCTTTAGAATATTTGCTTGTATTTATGATTAAGACTTTTTAATTTCGGGGGCTGGAGATTTAGCTCAGTGGCACAGCGCCTGCCTGGCAAGCACAAGGTCGTGAGTTTGATTCCCGGTACCAGAAAAAAGAAAAGACTTTTTAATTTCAGTATCGTTAAGGTCAAATAATAGCTTTCATTATGGGAACTACAAACCTGTCTTTCTTTCAGTCTTCTACTTTTCCTTTCTTACATGTCGTATTCGGTACCTGTGCGCAGTTGAAAGTTGCCACATTTTCTTTGCTCCACTTTGATCAAGAAGTAGCAATTATTTTCCTACCCCGTCAGCATAGGCCAGTAGAGTGCTGTACTGTGAGACACAATGTGGAGCCTAGCGGCGCCCGCTCCTGCCCTTGTGCTGTCCTGTGGTCTGTGAGGGGGCCTGGGCTAGCACCACCAGAGGTGTGATGAGGCCCCCAGGCCTTTCTGTCCCTCTTAGTTTGACATATGACTGTAGCCGCATAATCGACGTCAGGCAAGACCAGCAGAACTGCCCAACTGAGCTTAGCCAAAATGCTGACTCCAAGACAAGCTCACTGGCAAGTGTGAGGTCCCGAGTTCGAGTCCCAGTGCAAAAAACAAGACAAGTTTCTCTGTTATACAGACAGACTTCCCAACACCTGAGGGCAGCTATCAGGAGTCATTTTTATTATTTGCTTTCACCTTACAAATATCCCACATTTCTTTCACTATCTTTGTTCCTCTGACATAATTTCATGTTCTGTGGTCCTTGTATTTAACTGGTCGCTCTTCACTGGACTTCTTCCAGCCCGCCGAATTTCTCTTTAAATTTGTGGCACTCAGAATGGAAACCAGTGTTTCAAATATGTTTTGCCACTTTTACCCCTCAGTGACTGTTCCTGGAAGCCTCCCTCCTAACAAGCCCCAAACGTTAGCTTCTTCCTTCTCTTGCCTCCTCGTCTCTGCCTGTCCCACAAGAGATAAACGTTCTCTCTGTGTGGCCTCCTTTGCAGTGCTCTCTTCCTCAGAACCTGTTCCTGCCCTGAAGTGCTCCGAGCGCTTTACCCACACCGCTCTCTCCCCCGTGCGGTGCCAGCGTGGGGGGCCTGGCTCCTTGGTGAGGCTGCGAATTCCTGAAAGCATCTGTGGTATTTTATTTTTGTGCCTTAACACTTCACAGAGTACTTGGCGCATGTTAAATGCTTGATAAATATTTAATAGGTGGGCTAATTAACTAATAGACTTTGGGTAACAGAATATATTATCGTATGACCTACATTTTCTCATCAGGGTGTCAGGACGGCTATGAGGTTACTGTTTAAATCAGGATAGCATGTCCTTTGGTTTTCCATTAAAAAGAAAACGCATTTGATATAGATACTTTTCCAGCTCTGTAGACTGCCTTCTGAAAGATTTTGGCAGAGGTTTGTTTACTGTTTCTGGAATGTGAATTCACTCATTTTTGAAAATCAAGGCATTTGTTCTGTTCTTTCCTTTCTCCAATGCATTGCTCTAGAAATTAATTCACGTACACACTTTCATGTAATTTATCATATTATTTCATGTAACTTATTATAATTTATTTATGGAATGTTAACTGTATGGGTTGAGTAAATGTGGCTTCGTTGTTATTACTAACAAAAAAACAGTCGTTTATGTTTGTAAAGTGCCTTACCCGTTATATTTTCCTGTACCTTTGAGTCTTGGCAGACCTGCTTAGTAGCTAGGGATAGTTATCTGCGTTTTAGGAGAACAAGCTTAGAGAGAAAGGTCACCTGCCTAGTGAGAGGCCAGAATTGAACCCAGCTCTGGCAGAAAACCTGTTGCTCACTTGCTACCTGTGGCTCCAGATTCCTTCTGGATTAGGTAGGATCTTTTCCTTTTTTGTTTTCGGTACCGGGAATCGAACTCAGGACCTTGCGCTAGCCAGGTAGGTGCTGTGCCACTGAGCTTGGATCTTCTTGATGGAGAAGAACAGGTGGCAGGAAGGCAGTTAAACTGCTGTGCTTTCTTTGCATTTCTTGCCTTTGCCATTCTCCAACCTTTTCCCCCTTTAACTTGTAAGTATCTTCCTACGCTGGCCCTGGCCGCCTGGCCATGTATTTCCCATTGCCGCTTGGATCCGTGCAGAGCTGCAATGGGCTGGCGAGTGCTGTAGCGACCAAGGGCAGGAGCACGCAGCAGCTGTGCTGGTGTCTGGTGCTGTGCTAGGTGTCTCCTCTGTTACCATTCGCTGGCACCACCTTTCACAGATGAGGAAAGGGGGCGAAGACACCTCCCCTGGTACTCCTGGCACAATCTCCGCCTTACGCCCGGTACTGAAGCGCTTTCAAGTGGAAAGTCTTCTTTTTTTAAAAAAAAATTCTTACTGATACATGTTCACAGTTTGTATGAATTAGATTCTTTGTGGGGAGTTGGTACATGTACATAACTCATCTTAATTCTTTGTCTCGTATTTCTTGGTAGTCTTTTTGTACAGATTTAATCCCCCTTTTGTGATTGCTTTAAAGGACGTACTACATGGGCTTTGCTTTTCCTGTGGTAGAAAGGCGCTGGGAATACTGGGTTCACCTCTTTCCTTCTCTTGTGCTTTTTCCACTCGGTCTAATATTGTTAAAATGTAAACTATGTTACACACACAGCACACATCATCTTGTCCACATTTCATACTTCAGCGAGAACTAGTTTCTCAGATGGGTCTTTACAGAGAACAGAGCTCCACGGAAACGGGTCCCAGCACAGGTAAGAGTCAGGGGCCGAGGGAAGGGCTGCAGCATGGGGCATGGTACCCTGGGGCGGGTCCAGAGGGCGCTGGATCTTGGAGAGGATCGGTTACTCACGGGGTGTCCGGCTGCAGAAGGCAGGGGCACTGACCAGCAGCCTCGCAGTTTTAAGGGTTGGCAACACACACGGCCACTTCGGAGACCTCTCCTGCCTCCTGCTGAGGAGCACTGCCTTCCAGAGATAATCAACATTTCTTTCTTAAAATGGAGGCTTAACAACTCCAAACCTGGTGGTTTCATCAGAACTATAAACTGCTATATGTTAGAAGTGGAAGGAAAGAATTTCTGCCATGGCTATACGTGCAATTTAAAAACGCTTCTTTCATTTCTCCACTTTCCAGACAACTGCAGCATGACTTCCCCATGGCCGTGATTTTCAGCACGGATGATTTTTTCGCAAGGGAAGATGGTGCCTATGAGTTCAATCCTGACTTCTTGGAGGAAGCTCATGAATGGAACCAGAAAAGAGGTGATGAATTCCTTTCCACAACCCCGGGAAACGCTGTTGTGCACATAGATTTTAGCTGCTTCAGAAGGAGTAACTTTTATGCAACGAGCGTAATTAAAAGTTCTACCACTCCCCCCTGCCACGCAGAACTCCATAGCATAACCGCTTTAGATTCTAGGAAAAAAAATTACTGATAATGGGTTCTAAAGCAGTGGCATTTTAAAATTGTGTAATGACGCTAACAAAATGACAAAATGTGGATGACACTCAGCCTTCTCTGATTATTGCATGTTGTTCACTGTTATGTAAATTGTGTTGCAGCAAGAAAAGCAATGAGGAATGGCATATCCCCCATTATTATTGATAATACCAACCTCCACGCCTGGGAAATGAAGCCCTATGCAGTCATGGTAGGAAGAAGTATCATTCTGAATTTTCAGTGATGGACATTTTGTGAGAAAGTTGAAACATTTGTTCTTTCCTCTTTTCCTGGTCTTCCATGACTTCGTATTTCCTAACAGTAGTTCTTGAAAGGAGCAGATTATTTTAGTGTTTCTCTGCTGTGTTGACATTTGCTGAGATACTAATCTCATCTGAGGGCACAATTTTTAAATTCTGCTTGGTAAACAGTTCTGGGTCTGCACTGTTTCGGGACGGGGGTCTGCATTCTTAACAGCTTTCCAGTCTTGGTTACTTTCCAGACAGAGGAGTTCCACGGAAACTTGCAGGGAAATACTGGACTAATTGCTGCATGGCCATGGTTACAGGTTATAACAGAGCTTCCTTTGGGACTGAGGGCGGCCATAGCACTGTGTACCACTGTCACTGGGAATGCCAGAGCAACAGCATCTTTTAATTTAAAAATAATTTCAGGGTTATCACTGTTTCTATGCTACCTATTAAGGCGGTAGCATAGAAATATACCTGTAACTCAGTTCTCCAAGGAAATGGGACCCAGGTCAGGTAAGACTTTAGGTGCCTTTTTTCCCAGACATATTTTGTCTCATCTAATAACTTTTCATTCTCTATTGGGTAGAGCAAGGAGAGAGAACACCCACCACCACACAAGGTAGGGCAGGAAGCAGACAGCTTCTCCTCGTATCACGAATAACCCCCACTGGTAATTGTAAAGTGAGTATCTCCCACACTGGACTCATGGCAGTCTGTATTTAGGCTTTTTACATTTTGGGCAAAAATCGCATACCTACAGGTGTGCTTTTCTTTAAATAATACTTCTATCAGTTCTACAGTACTTAGGCCCAGACTGTGGGAGTTGGATGACTGGAAGAAAGAATAAGCATCAATTTTGTGTTTATTTCATTCTTGACTGAGAGTTGCGTGGGTGGGAAATGAAAAGGGTCTTGAAGACTTGAATGAATTCATGAGCATCTCAAAGCAAGAGGTAGGGAGTAACTGACAGTGGCTTTAGGAAGCCATTTTGCTTTTCATTTCCTGGATATGTACAATTTTTTCAGCCACTGTTATTTTGCAGCTGTTATTTAGGCTCAGAAATTAGATGTTTTCATGATATGATAGTTGAATCCTTCCCTAATTAAAAGGGCCCATCCAAAGACTAAAGAGGAAATCTTAACATTTAAAAAAAAATGTATCAACTGACATTTGTTTCAGTCCATGTACACAGTGTGCAACGATCAATTCAGGGTAGTTTGGTTATGCACCACTTCCAACATTTACCATTTCTTTGTGATGAGAACACTCAAAATCTTCTTCTGGCTATTTTGATTTTTTTGATACAATGTCAATTATAATCATCCCTCTGTGTAACAGTACGCCAGAACCCACTTATCCTATTTATGAGAAGTCTTTTTACTTAGCTCTTTTCGTTCTGTATTTTGCAACACAGTAACCAAAAGTAGTAACAGAAAGTTGTTTGAGATAAAGCAGGATTCAACTTCCGGGTGCAGAGAGTATTTGACGTTTGCATAGGGACAGTCATTTTTCCTAAACTCAGACTATCGCCTACCAGCTAGAGCTACTTCTGGAGGGATGAATATACAAACATGGAAGTCACTTCTACTTCATAAACTTCGTTTCTGTGGCACTCTCACTTTCTAAATCAAGGCTTGAGGACTAGAACAAGGCATCTAACAAATCTATAAGCATAATGTGACTGAAAACTCAGAGTTTGCTGCTCACACCTGTGTTTGAGGTATTTTAAACTAGTTCAGTCACAAACTTTTAAAGATGTTCAATTTCTATATGCTGGATAAAACTGACCAAAACTTAGCACTTTTAATCTGAGAATGGCTAAGTGTGGGAAAGAACTAATTGCATTAAGGTAAATTAAGGCATTGGATTACTGGTTAAAAACAAGTTTTACGAAAGCTCTGAAGTAAATGTTAAATGGCAGCATAAACCTTCCCAAACATACATACTATGTCTTCAATGTTTTATGTACTTTTGAAAAATCAGGCACTTGAAAATAACTATGAAGTTATATTCCGAGAACCTGACACTCGCTGGAAATTCAACGTTCAAGAGTTAGCAAGGTACTTCTTTGCTTTTCTAGTTTCTCATTATGTATCCTGCTGTTTTCAGGTGTTTCAGACCGAACAAAAGAATCTTTTCAGGCTGGAAATGGACTGGTAGTTTTCAGGCCAGAAATGGTAATTCTTGGAAATTGGTAACTTTGGAATTATTAATGTGAAGACTTTAGTTTTGGGTCAGTTTTCTAATATAATGCTAAATGCTAAATCTCAGCTTGAACTCGGTCCTTTAAAAGGACACATTTAACATTTTGCTAAATTGCTTCTTCATTAATGAACATCTAAAAGCACTTTCCTCTGCATGGGATTGCACATGTCAATGGTGTTTTTGCATTTGGACTAAATAAAGATCTTTAGATGTTGAACAGTATGTGGTTTGTTTATGGTTTAGATGCTGCTTCTAATTTATAAAGCAATAAATGTCCAAATAATACTAACTTGGTTTTGAGTGCATGAGTTCTGATATTCAGTCTCTGTTATCTGATGTTAATGTCAATGATTTAATCAGTGAGACCAGAATTTACCTTTTAGGAGTAAGAGTAGTTCCTCTTTTTTTTTTTTTTTCTTCCCTGTCTTTTTGAGACAGGGTCTCGCTATGGCAGTTCAGGCTGGCCTTGAGCTCACTTTGTAGCCCAGGCTGGTCTCGAACTTGCAATGATCCTCCTGCCTCAGCCTCCCGAGTGCTGGGTTTACAGGTGTGCACCACCACGCCCGGCTGGGGTAGTTCCTCTTGTGATTACAAGCAGATAGTATTTCCATTAGGGTCTGTGGCTCACCCTGGCAGGATCCCTCAGGTGGTTGTTAAACCCTAGAGCATGGACTCCATTCTATGTTGGACTCTTTGGTAAATACATTTCTAACTATATTCTCAGTTGATCCTTGTGTCTGCTAGAGTTTAAGATCGTTTTAGTAAGCATCTCTTAGTCTCAGGGACTGATAGGACTGAACTGATGAAAGATATATGCATGATTTTTAAAAATCTCACGGTATCCTTTCATGTTTTGAAGCACATAATTGAGATTACCAGAAGCAAAGCATTTCTGAAGCGAGCCTCAGGGTAGTCTGAAGGCATGCAGGACAGCATGAAAAACGGGAATAGAGCCTGAAAGATAATGGAATAGCAAGATCCACTTTTGCCAGTAACTGCCCTGAGGAAGAGAGTGTGATATTTATACAATGCAACAAGTAAAGCACTTTGATATTTTTACCTTAACTAAATGTTTATGGTTTATTCCCCATACAGAAGAAACATTCATGGAGTCCCAAGAGAAAAAATACACCGAATGAAAGAACGGTATGAACATAATGTTACCTTTCACAGTGTACTTCATGCGGAAAAGCCGAGCAGAATGAACAGAAACCAGGACAGGAATAATGCCTCACCTCCCAGTGGTGCAGGATACTGGCATTCCTACACAGAGTTTCCAAACCGGAGGGCTCACGGCAGCTTCACAAATGGGAGCTCCTTCAGCAGAAGGGGCGGCTGTCACCACGGATATTAGAGGCCTATCTTACAGCCATTCAGCATTTTCCTAAAGAAGTTTTTACTTCAATATTTGGTATTTATTGTCTGTTCAATTTTAGCAGAGCTCTGATTCCAGTGTAAATAGCCAAACCCCGAAGTTTCTGGGAGGAGGTCACTCTATTCATTAGCATCAAGAACGTGTTGAAGTGCACCTGCGTGCATGGTGTGAGGCTGGGCATTCTGTGGATTTCATGAAAGTCTTTCTCTAGGGAAAGAATTTGGAACCGAAATCCAAGAACATAACCAACTGGTCACATAGGTTCATACATGGAAGTGTTTATATTATACATAAATTTCCATTTATGTATAAAGTACCATTTTTATGAATCCATTTATTTTTTTCAAAAATTTCATCTCTTACCAGGAAGGTGGAGAAAGGAGGGGAGAAGAGGTAGAAAATGCTTGTAGTGCCATGCTACTTGATAATCTATGTATCCAAAATCGTGAGATATGTCACTAATGATACTGACTTTCCTTTAAAATGGATAGAAAACTCACAGATAAGGGAATACTGTCTTCACAGCAGACACTTTGGGAAGTTATTCCTTTAATTTAATGATCTATTACTATTGAAATGTCTGTGGAACCTTGATAGCTACACAAGTGACTCAGGAAAATCAGTGTCATTATTTGTCATGCTTTGTGTCTAACTACTTTATTCAACACGATTAAACCTTTGTCTGTGGTCTGTGTAAATAAAATTAACCTGCCTTCATAAGACAATTTTAAGTGGAACAATTAAGCAATTTTTACAGTTATGCCTATAAATGTAGTTACTTGGCAGCCAAAATATTTGCGAGTGCAAGGAATTAAGCAGCCTAGGATAAAGATCACATGAGTGTGTAAAGCCATGCTCACTGGAAGACCAGCAGTCTTAATGTTTTACATGGCATCATTTGAGACAATAAACTTCTACACAGCTCTGGAATGTCTCTCTTATGTGGCTACTGAATATAGGAATCCAAGTTAAATCCCAGCACTTAAGGCCGGATTAATTTGGTATGAGGTCATGATGGATAAGCCAATAGGGTATGTGTTCTATTTATTGTTGGCCAACAGCTTCTTTCTAATGTTCTGTGAATTATTTTAAGTGTCTTATATAATGGTGCTTTTATGGTTATTACAAATTGTATATGGTATTGTGTTTATATGGATTTGTCATTGAATTTTTTTTGTTCAATAAATTTACCTAAATCCCAAGGAATTCAATCATATCATAACCGATTTTTCTACATCATAACTTATTTACTAGTCTAACAGCAGCCATAAATGTAAAGACAAAAGCAACTTGATATTTTCTTCCTTACATACATACCTGCACATTAGAAGGTCTATCTTAGTCTGGCTATGATGGTACATGTCTGTAATCTTAGCGCTTGGGAGACTGAGGCAAAAGGATCACCAGGAGTTCGAGGCCAGCCTGGGCTGGAGAGCAAGACCCTGCCTCAAAAAACCGAAGAAGATTATTTTAATATTCCATTAACACTATGGCAATCTACTCAACATCCTGATAACTACCAGCAATGCATTTGTAATTTTTTTGTTAGAATTTAAAAAATTGGTATATCCGTTGAGTAACAAAGCTTGGCTAACAGATGTAAAATAGTACATGATGAATCTAAACTGTTACAGTTTTAAAAAATTCTATGTGCTTTAAGCATAGCACACAGTAATCCTCTTATAATAGTCCATTTAATAATACTCCTACTTTCTAGGCCCAGGTAACCCTGGGTATTTTAGTCAATATGGTTACTGCAGAACCAGCTCAAAAAGGATGGCTTCATCCACGTTAGTAGAGGGAATTACCTTCAAGTCCCAGGAGTCGTCCAAAGGGCCGATTCAAGTACCTCTGGTTTGGCTGGCTGGTTCTCTTGGGCTTTTGGTTCGCACGGGCTGAGGGAGGTAATCATCATGAAGTGGCTCTGGGCTAAGATCCAGAGCTTTTACACAGCTTTGGCAGTTTCCTGGCCCATTTAGGTCTTTTCTTTTTCTAAATGACCTCGGAAATACTTGCCTTAGAAGCCTACAAAGAACTGAATGCCACCACCTTTATCCCAGGTAGAAGTGGTCTGACTTCTATCATCTTTTGAACACCTAACACTCACTTGCATTTCTCTGGGTCATTGCTTGCATTATTCATAGAGCTGGCAAGTGCTCTGTAAACACAGTAGACTCTCATTAAGTGACTGCTGAATAAATAACACAAACTTTTTACCACTTATTCTTATCATGCAGTATGTACTGACAAGTCTGTATTAAATTGTCATTTCTGGGAGGGTAGTGTATATATATATACTAAAGCTTTACACTTTGTTCATGTAGCTTGGATATTATTTATAATTCATAAGAAGGAGTGTATGCTTTAGATATCTCTATACTAGGTGGTCTGAATGGCAATGAGAACAGAGGAGGTGAGAGCACTTATTTCTAGGATTCACAAAGAAAAAGGTTAAATCCTTGAAAATAGGATTCTTCTTGTTTTACTCAGTTTTACTGAGTTTTACTCCCTGTTCTAGAGTGGAACACAGAATAATTAGGATGCGAAGGCCATACTGTTTTATGAACAAAACTTAAGTTGGAATAAGACTAGCAGAACACTTAATGGCAGAATTAACTATGACGTTAATGATTTTTGGAAGCGAGATAAATCATGGAGCAGTTAAAAAAGTGGGAAATTTTTTTTTTTTTGGTGGTGCTGGGGATGGAACAGATACACTGAGCTACATCACCAGCCCACAAGTTAGTATTTTTTTAAAACTGGTACTGGCAACTGAACCCAGGGCCTTTGCACTGAGCTACAATTCCCAGCCCTTTTTTATTCTTTATTTTGAGACAGCGTCTCACCAAATCATTTAAGTTGTACAGTCTGCGCTTAAATTTGTAATCTTCCTGCTTTAGCATCCTACACATAGTGCTGGGATTACAGGTGTGTACTGCCACACAAAGTTTCACAAACTGATTTTTAAAAGGATTTTTTCTTCTACAAGGGCCTGGTTTCACATGACTGTAATCCTAGCACTCAGGAGGCTAGAGCAGGAGGATTGATGCAAGTTCAAGGTCAGCCTGAACTACACTTTATTTTTGTTGAAATAGTTTTGTCTCAGCGAAACCCCCAACCCAACCCAACCCAACCCAGCCCAACCCAACCCAACCCAAAAGAATTTATTTGTGGCTTTGAAATGAGTCTATAATTACATTTGAATACATGAAATTATACATACATTTAAGATAAATGAAAACATCTGGTTTAAGAGCTTCCTCATGCCATTGTGTAGCTCCTAGTTAGACCTTTCTCTCTTTAATATAAACATAAGGAAGTAACAGATGTTACTTGTTACTTTTGACTTGGTGGTAGGTTTAACCAGCAGCACATTCTAGGTCCTATGATACTGCTAAAGACAAAGCAGGTAAATCAATACCAATTTGAAAGCAAGTTTCTGACGTTCCAAAATGGATGACGAGTTTGCTTTAAAAAAAATTTTTTTTTTTGTCTTTTTGAGGCAGGGTCTCACTATGCACTTCGGGCTGGCCTTGAGCTCACTTTGTAGCTCAGGCTGGTTTTCTGCCTCAGCCTCTCAAGTGCTGGGATTACAGGCGTGTGCCACCACGCCTGGCTGGACTTTTTAAAAAAATTTTTAATCTGCTTCTGACTTAAAAAATTTGAATTTTTAATTGAAGTAGTTTCAGAGATCACACTGGGATCATATGAAGTTGTTACATTGAGGGTTCTGTTCTTCTTGTACTATGCTGACCTAAGGGTAAAGAACTGGCTGGAAGGAAACCCCACTATAATATATTTATCCTGACTTTTGAACAGGAGGGAACTACAGCAGAGAACAATGCATACATTAAGGAAAATTTTCATAGGAAGTTACCACTAAAAAACTCCTAAAATAGGAACTAAACTGAAAGGAATTATCTGAGTCAAAACAGCTATACTTAAAAACTTTGTTTCAATTAGTCAGTGATACACTGTACAAGGTCTATTTATTTGTAAAATAATATTTGCTGCGATCAGGTCCAATGAAAGATTTAAATGAGTTCTATTAATAAATGTACAATTTTAAGATACACAGTTGAAAACAGAATCAAGCAAAGAACATCTGTGATCTGCAAATAGGCCACTGTGAAACTATTACTCATAGCTTTTCTTGTTATGAAAATACTGATAGGCAGTTTGAGACTGTAGTATACACCGGACAGGTTAAGAGTCAGTAACCATTGTCATTTATGTTTTTGTTGCCTTTGCAATCTCTTAGATAAATTCTTTATCCTGCTTGTGTTCTGCACGTTGCTCTTACATTCTTCTGTGCTGGCTGGGGACTTCTCTTGTCCTCTGACCAGAGACACAGTGTAATGGCTTTTTTGTCCAAGATTATCTTCTGAACTGGAAGGAGCAGTCCTCCTGGATTCACGGATAGGTGAAAGTAGATTTTCTCCTGCAGAACCAGACAAGAGGGCTTGGGTATTTATCACTGCAAGTTCTTCATCAGCTATTGAGTTGCTTTCTGAAAGAGAAACTTTTTCTTTAAGTGGAGTCATCTGAGAAAAATTCAGTTCCTTTTTCTTCATAGGTGTCTCGTACTTGGTGCCACAAGTCCGTGGTGGCTGAAAGGCCTTCTGTGCGGCTGGGGAAACAAACGTGCAAATGGGGCTCACGGGGGGAGGTAAAGGCACTCGGCTCAGGAAGTCCAGGGCTCGTCTCTTCTTGCAGTTTTTTGGGTCACTCACTGCTTTCTCCCTTTCGCAGGACTTTGAAGTTATTTGGGCTGATATGGGGGTAGACGCAGATTTTCCTTTTGGCGAACAAAGTGATAAAGGACTCTGGTAATTCATCTCACTACCAGAAGACATCTAATAAAGTAAAAAGTAACCTATCATAATTATGAACTAGTGTAAAAACAATATCCAATTAACCTTTCATTATAAATAACACACAAATATCACAGATATTTATCCAACTGCTAACAAATTAGATGAGTTCAAGAAATACTCATGTTACTACTCCTGTTTCAGAAAGAGATAGTTCTGCATAAAAGGTATAAAAATGACATGAAAGATAGAGGAAGAATAACACAGTCAAAGACAAAAAAATGTTGACATCACTTATGCTTAATCTTTTAAAAAAATCATTAATAGGTCAAACAAAAAGAGGCATTTTAAAACCATCTTAAGAATACACACTGCCTGAGTTCTAATGTCTACTTTTTAGCTTTGTGACCTTGGGTTTTTTTTTTTGTGGCGACAGGGTCTCACTCTGTAGTTCAGCCTGGCCTTGAACTCAGCGTGTAACCCAAACGGGCCTCAAACTCCTGGTAATCATACTGCCCCAGCCTTCCAAGTGCTGGGATTCACAGGTGTGACGCACCATGGCCAGCAAGTTGTTTAACCTCTTTATACCACAGTCTCCTCATCAGTGATAATAGTTTTCATAGTTACTGTGTTTCATTGCTGTGAGGATTAAATGAGTTAATACAGCCACACTTATGAAGTAGTAGTATTTAGTTTAGCAATAACATAAACTTTAGGGGCTGGGGATTTAGCTTAGTGGCACAGTGCCTGCCTGGCAAGCGTGAGGTTGTGAGTTTGATTACTGGTACCGGAAAAAAAAAAAGATAACATAAACTTCAGCTTGATTGTTCTGTGATTTAGGGGGTGGTACTGGGAATCAAACTCAGGACCTCACACTTGCCACGCAAGCACTGCACCACTGAGCTGTATCCTCGGCCCCAAATCTTCTGCGATTTAATGAGTAAAAATACACTTAAAATCAATCCCAATGGAATAGGAAAAAGAAACAGGCAAAAAAGGCTTTTTCAAACATATGTATTTAGAATCCTAAAAGTGAAAGCACTTGTTGTAAAGTGTGTCACCTAAGACTTAGTCTTGCTTCAATAAACAAGATATAGTTTCCAAATACCCTACACCTATAGTAGTGACGTAACAATTAACCACCGTTTCTAATTAAGTTTATTATATTTTACCATGTTTCCGAATTATATACTAGACTTGATTCCTCCATATGTAACATTTCTTAAATTTATATTAACTTACCAGGCACTTGTTTCCTGTACCCAGGACTGTGTGTGCAGGGTGTGGCTCTGAAGTACAGTCTTTAGATGGGGTAGACCACTTGGGATCGTTTACATTGAGTAAATGTGTGAGCGTCTTTGCTGCATCATTGCAAAATGTGTCAACATTCTAAGAAAGTAAGTTGAAAAATCTGTTTTGTAAGTTGCAACGACATGCACGTTTTCAGGTAGTACTTCCTTTCAGACCAGAACTAAAACATTCTGACTACAACAAATGAGATACTCAAAAGTTGACAGCGGCTGTCAAACACGCCAGCGCAGAAATGCAAAAGCAATGCCACTGATTTAGGGGAATCTAGCTGGAGGAAGGTGCTGAGGAGGGAGGAGAAGGGTGCAGGTGTGAAGGAGAGACGTAAGCGATCCGCCCAGCCAGGGTCAGTCAGCAAGGTGTCGTGATATTGGTAAGATCGGGGCTTATGTTCTAGTTCCATGTAATAGCAGGAAACCATCATCACATCCACAGAGTGCTTTGTAGGGCATGAAAACCAAAGAACTGCCTCATACTGCACATCTGTCCCACGCATTAACTCAAATGATACAAAGGTTAATCTACATGGAACTGGTCTTTAAGAAGCCACCACTGGTCAAATACCAGGAAGTTAACAAATACCAGTTAACCTACTGGCATAACCTCATACCTGAGAGTATTTTACAGAACTTTAAAAAACCAGGGGTGCACACACACATATATACATAGAAAACTGCTTATGTGTGATCTGAGGGAAGTAATTCAAGTGTTTCCTACTTGAGATTAATAATATTCAAATCAAAGAAGCATACTGTACAAGATATAGATACATTAGATACAGAACTTAAACTACTAGCTTACAACTAATCCCACTGCTACTGCTGTTAGCCACAGGTAACTCATTTTCTTGTTTCCCATTTCCAGTTCACCTCCATGGTGTGTACCTCTGATCATCCTCCTCACAACTTCTCTTCACTCACTTCCTCTCAAGTCATTCTTTTCCATCTGAGAACTGTCATTCCCTTATTCCCTCATCTCTTGGGCAATGGATATATAATGAAACCTCACCTTTATGTACTACCACAGCGATCCAATTTACACTATTTCTTGATTCAGGCAAAGTAGGAATACAGCAAAATATGTCATGATGATGAAAAGCGGTTTTACCTCAACAACAGTTTTCATTTTGTTGAATCTCTCTTGAAGGTGGCCCTCTTTTGGACTGGCAGAAAACATGGAAAAATCTACAGCAAATAAAGTAGGAATTGCAGAGCAGGATTCTGGTCGCCACTGAAGGTTGCTTGCAGCAATTAACATGTGAGGCTTAATAATATCTTCATTAAGATCAATCCAAAATTTTATTGCCAAAAAATTATAGCATTCATCTGTCAGATACACCAGAGGAGCAAGACCTACAATGAAAAAAAAAAAAAACATAAATAATTTTAAAAACACAAGAGTGCGAATATACTTATTTATTTATTTATTTTTGAGCCAGGGTCTCGCTATGTAGTTCAGGCTGGCCTTGAACACACTTTGTAGCCCAGACTGGCCTCACACTCGATGCAGTCCTCCTGTCTAAGCCTTCCAAGTGCTGAGACTACAGGTGTGCACCAGCATGCCCGGTTTTAATACGCTTATTTTAGTAGGTACGAATGGTAAAAATAAATCAAAATAACTGAATTTAGAGAAGACTTGGGATTTCCAAAATATCTGTTGCTTATGATAACAGATCAGATTATGGTAAATTTCAATGCCAACATATTCTGTCACTGAGATCATGGTGATGCAGGTCTACTCATAATGCTGAAGGCGGAAGAATCTACAATCCTTCTGGAAGAGTTTGACAATGCCTAAGTGACATAGCCATTTACCTTTATACCCAGTAACCCTGCTGCTAGTTATTCACTCTGCAGATGTATCTCCAACAATAATAAAGTACACATACACAATAATGCAGTAGGCAGCTATAAAAATGAGGGAAAACTACCAATTGACTTCCCACACTGTGTTAAGTGAGAGCTGAAGAGGATAAAAGGCAGGCTAGGTTATGTTATCCTGAATATAAGGAAATGTAAAAGAAAAATGTGCCTGTTTATTTGTGCAGCAGTAATAGAAGCAGCCTAAACCAGAAACTAAAGGAGCGGGGCGGGGCGGGGAAGGGAGGACTAAGGCTGGGGTAGCAGCGTGGAGGAGGAAGTGACACTCTCCAGTACATCATTTTATATAGCTCTGGCTCTTTCAAGCAGTCATAGGACTTGACTTTAAATACCATATTCTGCTGAAAAGGAACCAAGGTGCCTTAGGGAAGCAGCTGACCCCATGGCCGGAGCAGGGAACATACAAGAAGAACCTGGAACATCTTGTGCTGCCAGAAAGGAAATACTCAAAAAGCAAAGGGGGCTCACTGAAACACAAGCGCCAGCCGCTAAGGCTCCTATGCCCAAAGCTGAAGCAATGTGAGCCCCGTGAAGGTAATGGATTTTCCCCCGCAGAGTGGGGTACATATTTCTAAATCAGTAATGATGTAAGCAAGCTGAAGGAAAGGAGAGCACTTCCTTACAGACTCCAATGAATTCCGATTCATGTACAATAAACGAGGCAAAAAAGCAATCACCATTAGGAAAATACTACAGTGATAACTGCTGCAAGCAACTGAGGGCTATTAAAACTAATGGGCAAAAATCTGTGGTGAAATGGATCTTTAGGGTCTCTTTCCCTCAAGATATTTTATTAACTACAAAGGGAAAGGCAGTTATTTTATGGGCGGGAAACCTGGCAGTGAGCACCTTAACCACCTGGTCTCCAGTACCAATAATAAGAAACAGCAACATCATAAAGCCTTCAACCTGATGCACGAAGGACGCAGCATCCTTTCAACAGCAAACTTGCCCAAAACGTATGGCTTCATTCCATGCAAGAGAAAAACATCAGACAAACCCAGCTTGAGGGAAATGCTACAAGATAATGATCAACCCACTCAAAAGTGTCACAGTCATGAGAAACAAAAGGTGACTGAAGAACTGTTAGATTGGAGGAGATTCCTGAGAACTAATGGGTAAGTGCACGGTGGGATCCTGCTTAGGATCCTGAAGCAGAAAAGGGAAAACGGTATGAAAACTTCAAACCTAGGACCTGGGTTCAGGGTGGAGTTCTTGAGTAGCACATCCAAGGGCCTGGGTTCAATCCCCAGTACCCTCCACCCCCACCCAAACCAACTACATAAATTTAAACAAACTGTAGGGGGCAATGAATCTTAGCATATTATTTTGGATAAAATAGTTTTGGTAAAAGCCTACATGGTGCCTTGGGAAGCCTCCTGGGACAGTGTAAGAGCTAATTCCCCAGATCAACACTGTCCAGGAATGTCTCCCCAAGATAAGGGGGCGCCTAGGCCTAGGTAACCCTCCATGACCCTGCCTGGGCAGTTCCATCTCCTGGCCCTAGGTAAACATTGTAACCATAAAGTAAATGTACGGTTATCTAAAGGGGGTCATATAAAACAAGAGTACAAAAAGTATATATCATTGTGGTTGGGCTCATGCCCGGAGCCTGACCCGGTTACATGGCACAAGGAAAACAACATGTGGCCAGGGCTATAACATTCCTTTCTGTTACCATGGAAACCAAAAATGTATATAACCTGGGAACAAAGACAGGTCCACGCCCACTTCCTGGACTTGCAAGTCGGGATGAGAGGTGACCGGTCTAAATTAAAACTTTGTCTGTTCTCTTTGGTCTCTTGCGGAATACAGCCTGAATTTTTGCCGTAACAAAACCTACGGTATAGGCCAGTGACAGCAAACCTTTAGGAGCTTTCAATGGCGATGACCCACTGTGGCATGCGTGCCATAGGTTCCCCCCACTGGTGCAGGCAAAGATGTTGTACCAACGCTAACTTTCTGATTCTAGTAGTTGTACAACACTGTGTAAGATAACATTAGGGAACGCTGGGTTAGGAATATTTGGGAACTGTACCATTTGCACAACTTTTGTTTGTTTTGTTTTTTTTTTTCCCGTGTACAGGGAACCGAACTCACGACCTTGAGCTTGCCAGGCAGGCGCTTTGCCGCTGAGCTAAATCCCCAGCCCTTGCGCAACTTCTGACTGTCTGAAAACAGTTTAAAATAAAATGTTATGAAATTTGAATGCTAGAAACAGGCTGCTGGACAAGCTAAGACTGAGATAAAGTGAGAGAAGCTGGAGTTAGGTGAGGTACTAAACATTTACCATTTCTTATAAATTATACTTATTATATAATGTATAATATCTACAATTATTTTATATATATTACATAATTTCTTATACTACTCAGATGGTTATGTGTTCCCCGTAAATGACAGGAATGGAAAGAATTGCCATTCTTGGATAATAATTTATTTATCTTATTGTAAGTGATGGCTTAACCTTTCATTTTTCCCAATTTACAAGTAGATTTATTTAATGGCTATTAATTTTAAATATTAAATATGGCTTTTGAGATATAAATTTCCCAAACACATTCAATTTTCTAATTTTGGAATCTGCCTCTAACTACATTCAAAATCTGATATTACTGCCCTTCTCTCAAATGTCCTTTAGAATACCATGTTTGACCATGATAAACATGTAGATTACATAAAAGCAATATGTGAAGAACATTTAGAATAATGCAAAAAATAAAAATGAACTCACACAGTAGTTTTTCATTTTTTTTGTAAAGAAGTTTCATACCTGGATCAAAGTGCACTGAAACAAAACAACTTCCAAAGGCACACAGCGGCACAAGCCTGTAATCCTAGCATGCTGGGAGGCTGACAGGAGGATGACAAGGTAGAACCCAGACAGAGCAACTTAGCTATTTAGTGACACCCGTCTCAATATAAAAAATAAAAGGGCTGGGACTGTAACTCAGTGTGAAGGCCCTGGGTTCAATCTCCAGTATGGGGCAGGGAGGCTAATTTTTCATTTCTTTAACGACAAAGCATCTTGTACAAATAGTAACAACTGGAAGAATTTTTTAAAAATGTAGCACTTTTGAAATGTTGACACTAAATCTTCATGAAAATAAAAGAATAAGAATAGTATTGGATCCATCCAATATGGCTGAATGGAGGAGGAACCTTATGCAGAGCTACTCAGAGAAATTCAACTAAAACACAGGTAACTGGAAGAAAGGACAGGGACATACACTCTGAAAGTAAAATCAATTTGAAAGAAGAAACTAACAGATCAAGCAAAATACAGATAAAAGACTTAACAAAACAGCCAGCCCACCTGGCTGCCAGTGGGTCGCCATATTGGGACAACTGCCCACCACACTTGGAATTGTAAAGAAGATAGAAAATGTTATACTAAAATAGTGTGGCTAAGTCAAGCCATACAGGATAGACTTGGGATATAAGGTCCCCTGCTCCTTCTGCATTCCTCCAAACAGAAGACGCTACAGTAAATTCTGCTGACACGAACTGCTCCCTCCCTGTTCATTGATCAGTTTTCCTTTTTTGTTTCCTTTTTTTCTTTCTTTTCTTTTTTCTTTTCTTCCCATTCCTTCTGTGCGTTAGAGCACTAACTGGAACTCTAGAAACAAAATTAAAGAGCACAGGGTGCACAGCAAATGGAGCAGCGAACCTCTCCTCCGTGACCTGTGGTTAGAAGGTGCAGGAATTAAATAGCTTTGCACTTCTGGGCTGTGCAGCCCCGGGCTGTCCCCACACTGCCGGGGGAAGGAGCAGAAGGGTGCCCCACAGTACCCTTATCTTACCTCAGGAAGTTACACAATACAGCAGAGTTGAGTAGCAGTAGAACTTATAAAGCAATGGCAAGTTAGCACCACACTTTGGGAGAGGTGTAAGCATTGGGGCAGAGCGGCCTTGGACTGTAACAGCAGGAGCACAGGACCAGACCTTCACGGCGTCCTACCCTACCCTGCAACAAATGACCTGAAAGGACAGAGACTTGCCAGGAAGAGAAATACAGAAGGCTCAGCAAAAATCAGGAGCCAGAGGCACACGGGACTAGGAGCAGCCCTGTCTGTCTGGAATCAGTACAGCAACTGGGAGAGAGAAGCAACCAAGAGAAACAGGGTAAGGAGTAGGAGGCTGCTAAGAAACACAGAGAAAGTACTGACTGAAGACTCTGTGCCACCACCTCCACCCCCATCCCCCGGAGGTCAGGATCAGCCGCAAATCCAGCACAAACCCAATTTCAGGCTTACCAGTGTTATCCAGTAGGTTTGGATTCAGTGGACACCAGAGGAATTTTGTTTTCTTTTTATTTTATTTTATTTTATCTTTCTTCGTTTTTGCTGGTTTGTTTCCATTTCTTTTATTCTAATCTATTCATCTTCCCCCCCCCCTTTTTTTTGTTTCCATTTCTTTTATTCTAATCTATTCATCTTCCCCCCCCCCTTTTTTTTTACCTCTCTAGAGTT